TTTGATTAATGATTTTTATTTTAATACTTGAAAATAATTCAAAATTTTAGTTTTAATTACTATGATTTTTATTTTTTTTATTAATACTTGAAAATAATTCAAAAATTTCATGTAATTAATCAAAATATTTTAATCATTATTTATTAATCATGTAACTAAATTTTTAATTGTATTAATCAAAGAAAAAAATATTTAAATATCAAGTAATTTAGAATTGAACAAAATATGTTTATATCTAATAATAAATTATGTAGTGAAAAAAATAAAGAGAGTTTTGATTATCATTTTTAATTTTATAGTAATTTATTTAATTAATATAAATTGATAAAAATTTAATATTTTAATTATTACATTATAAAAGGGTATTATAGACATTATAAAAATTCTTAATGCATTTATAATGTATTTTATTAAAGTATTTTTATTTATATAAGATTTAAAATTACATTTTTATTAAATAATAAAAAATTTGATAGACATACCATGGTAGAATTTTTTTAAAAAATTAAAATCATTATGAATTAGCAAATATATCTTTTAAATAAAAAATTTTAATTAAAGTTTGATTAGTTAGTTGGGAAAAAAAAAAAAAGAACAAAAAAGAATAGTGCATGCAAGGCTAAAATTGAATTTAATGAAGGATGGTAAAAAATGGTACGTTGAATTTAATTAATAAGGGGAGAAAAAAACTAAATTAAAGTAAAATGATAGATTTATCAAATAAAGAAAGTATTAACACGTGCCAGCAAAATTGCAGAAGGCTGGTAAAAGTGATACGTGACATACTTACCTCAAATGATTTCTGCTTTAATATATATAGATTTCTATATGTATTGAACAATAAAAAAAATTGTACACATTGATGAAAAAAAGTTTTAGATTACTTTCAAGCGGGGATATCCCAGTCTCAAATCGATTTCTTAATGAGCTTTTAGATAGCTTATCACTTTACAAATTAAATAAATTTCTTGTTACAATTGTTTTTTAGCTTTGATGACTTTCAGCAGTATCATAATTACGGTAAATAAGTTTTGATATATTTATTTTCACCTAATAAAAAAAATATATGTCCTTATTTTGCAGTTTTTCTTAAATAAAATGCTGGAACTTGTAGAGCAACTCTACTCTACCATTGTCCCCGTCTTCTCTGAGTCCGTAAATTGCTTCTAGCGTATTGTACCTATCAGAAAGGCGAGAAATTTCAATCGGAATGGCCGATTTTCATTCCTCTACTCACCGAGCCAAGTGGATCTTCACTCCTCAACAACTGGTATGGTTCGTTTGTCTTACCTTCTCTGTTTGGCTTCTGAGAAAGTATAAAGGAAAATAATGGAAAAAGAAGAACGGAAGTTAAATTTGTCTTTTACAATGACCAAATGACGGCAGAAAATTATCCTCTTTTTTTTTTTTTTTCAATTAATAAAGTTTATAATTTGCACAGATGAGCCTTTTTTTTTTGAGCTAGGTTTTGGATATGGAGTAATGCGAGAATTATAGAATTCTAGACTTTGATTTTCTGAAAGCCTCTTTGATATCTATATTTTTTCCCTTTTGGCAATCAAGTTTCACATTAATTACTTATAGATAATTCAATTTCTTGATCATAAGGAAGAAAATGGAAGTGATGTTGAAGGTTTTTTTTTTTTTTTTTTTGGGGGGGGGGGGTTTTTTTATGATAAAAGGATTCTTTTTCTCTGCTTTGATATAGGTTGAAAAATTCAAAGTTGCTAATCAAAGAGCAATAGAGACACTAGAGAAGGTATGGGAAAGGCTTTGGTTCAACTGTACCCCTTTTTTGTGTGCATATAAGGAGATGTTTGCAGCATATGGATGAGTGTCAGTGTGAATGTATTTGTGCAGGCATGTTGTTATCCAAATCTGTTACTGCCTAATAGCATTTTGGGATTGGATGAATCCTATTGACCCTTCAAGTCTGGTTTGTTGCACAAGTTAGTTCGTCTAAGTACCTGTTCATTGATTTGGACTAGTTATTTTAGTTGCTCTATGTGTTAGGTTTTCAGTTCATGCAGCTTAGGACAATGGTTTTGTATTGGTAATTTTCTTTTTCCGTTCTTAAATGGGTTCACTTGACACTTAAAAGTTATTGATTGTCAATTGTTGTGAGAGCTTTGTATTTTCATTTTCCTTCTTTTTGTTCCAATGAATATGATAAATCAATCAACTTTTACATTACATGATTATTCTATGTTTGGCCAAAAGGAAAAAAAAAAAAAAAATCCTTAACATCTTCAAAGCAGATAGGCATTTCCTTTAACAATATCAAGTATTTGAAAATCTCAATGAGGGAATTTATGGTGTGTGTGTGTGTGTGTGTGTGTATAATATTTATCTCATTCCTAATAACTTGTAATTTACACTTCCATATGTATATCTTGCAAATTTCTTCCTACTCATTGTGTGCTTCTATCATTTTTTTCTCTTCTATCAAAAGAACCTTTACGGTAATTTTTGTATTTTATTTCTGCTGACTGAGTAATTTCTTTTTAAGTGTGGAACAATACAAATAGAAGTTGACACAGGTGGGTCATTTTCATATCCTAAACCTCAAATTAATGCAAAAGATAGTGGTAAAGGCATCTTCCCTTTACATTCATTATGCCATCTGTTATTCTGTTTCTGTAAAAGAAATGTCCTCTTTGCCTTAGTTCCAATTACTTGGTCTGGACTTACCGTAATGTCTTCGCTTTATTCATCTCAGCTGACAAGCATTCTGGCCCAAAGCCTCTTAATGTTGAAGAAGAACAGTTTATGCGAGTATTTAATGAGGATGAGCTTCGGGAAGTCTGTAGTGCCTTTTACTTCCCTAATAAAATTCAGGTGATTACTACTGTTTCTAAGATACAGTTAATAGTTTTGAAAGACAATGAAGGTCCTTAATGGGACTGGATATTCTGACATGTTACTGTTTCATGTTTTGCAGGTAACAGCTCTCATATACTTCAAAAGATTTTATCTGCAATGGTCTGTCATGGAACATCACCCAAAAAATATAATGTATGATTCTTTTGGACGTCTTTTGCATATGTTTACATAAAATTAAACCTATTTTTCATTGGATCTTGTATTAGAATCAGTCCTGAAATGCTCTAAGAATAAGCTACAAGTCAGTAAATTCTAACAACTATTTAAACTACTTGAGGGCATGCTATTGGTGTTTTTGCTGAATGGAATGATATGGTGATCTGCTCAAGTTACCTTCCTGGTTTCCCCATCCCACTTTTTATGCAAGTATGGATTGCATCCTTGTTATATGTTTCCTTAAGCATAATTTTTCATTTGATGTCATGTTGGTTGTGGCTTTCTTTTTACTTCTGAATGGGCAATTTTCTTGAAATTTTGTGAAGATGAAAAAATTTATTTATATGTACAGGTTAACCTGTGTCTACGCAGCCTGTAAAATAGAAGAAAATCATGTATCAGCAGAGGAGCTTGGTAAGGGGATTCCACAGGATCATCAAATAATTCTCAATTATGAGATGACTGTTTATCAGGCATGGCAATGGTTTCTTTTTATTATCATTTCCATCTTTCTTTTTCTTGTGTTTCTATAAGCGACTAAGTGTATGTTTTGATATGCAGAGTTTGGAATTTGATCTCATTGTTTATGCACCATATCATTCAATTGAAGGTTTTGTCAATGATATTGAGGTGAGTTCTGTTAGCCATCCTGCCTCAGATCCTTTTCTTTTGTAGTTTGATTAGAAAGCTATTATTTGATATAAAGTTGATTAGGAGGAAAGCAGCATCCTAGTTACAGGGTTGCTTCTGCAGTCTTTATGTTAGTTATATTTGAATGACTGGAGGTTTGGTTCTTTAGGAATTCTGTGGAACAAATGATGAACAAACTCAAATGCTGAAGGTAACTTATGCTATAATCTTATAAACTCTTATGTTTGTGGCTTGTTGAGTAGTGCCACTAATGTTACTTATATTGGTCAGGAATGATTGAAAGTAAACTTAGTTGAACTTGAATTGGAAAGCTCCTTCCAGGAAAGATGTTATGTTCAATGTCTTGTAATTATCGCCCAAAAAAATCTCTTGTAATTATCTTTTTTTTTTTTTTTCTTTTCCTTCTAATGTACTTCTAATTATCTACTTGACAAGTCAATATCTTATAGGATTTACAAGAAACAGCAAGTAAAGAAGTGGACAAAATCATGCTTACTGATGCATCACTTCTATTTCCCCCTGGACAGTATATACATCTTTTTTTAGCTAATTATTTAGCAGATAGTCTGTAAACAAAAGCACATTAAATAGGCCTCATAAGCCTTAAATTTGTGTGTGTTGATAATTTTTGTGTTGTTTTACATTACATAAAATTATGGTCTTGTTTGGATTTGTTGTTCGAACTTCAAATGTAGTTGATAGCTGAGAGTTGATAGTTGATATCCAATGGCTAATAATTATTGTTGTTTAGAATCCAAAAACTTATATTTGCCAGATTAGAGTCAATAGTTGATAGTTGTTCGCAAATGGCTAACCTAAATAGAGCCTATTTTAAAAGTTCCTCTGTGACATCTCTTTATGTTTTTATTGTTGCATAATACATGCAGGGAAGCTTGGTAGTTCTATATTCATAGCCTCTCAGTTTTGCCATAATTAACTATTTTACGCTTCCTTCAGTTTCTCCCTTTGTCATTTTTTTAATCATGTGATTCCTTTGTCTTGTTGTAATATAATAATCTCTTATGACTAATTTCTCCTATGGCAATGAGAAAGATGGCATTGGCTGCCTTGTGCAGAGCAAATGAAGTGCATGGATTAATTGACTTTGAGAGGTTTGACCTGCCTCATAATTCAAGAAGTTCTTGGATCTATGATAAATGAGTTTGATGTAACATTGTTAACTTGTATTCTTTGCAGTTACCTTATGAGCATTCTCACTCACCAAAGATCTGCCCACACCATTCTGGAGCTTACTGAATCTTTGAATGCTATAGATTCTTGGGTATAACTCTAACTCATATGATTCAACCCCTTCATGATTTGAGTTTGATGCATCTTTCATGTTTGCTGTAAATACCTAAGAGGTATGGGAAGAGTAGGTATCGAACAGCAATTTGTTTGAAATAATATTAATACATTCATATAGATGATTAAATGGATCTACTAATTAACATTGTATTCAGTTTACCATCAACAGGTTCTGAAATTTAAGTTCCCAACAGAGAAGGATATGAAGCACATCAATCGCAAGTTGAAATCTTGTTTGGGTCATGGCACACATGATGAGTATGTTATTCACAATTTTTCTTTAATGAAGTAAGATTTATTCTCTTTATACCCTGCTTCAAATAATTTTGTATTTGTGGAAGCAGAAAAAAGCGGGAGAAGAAATCAGGGCACAGGTCTCATAAGAGTTCAAACAAAGTTCATAACGGGCCTATTGCATAAATCAATCTTTTAGTTTCATTGAACACCGCTAGTTTATAACTCCGCCTCCGAGATTTGTCGAGGGCACTGCCATCATCTGGGCAATGTGAGAGGGGATAAACTAGTAACTTGAAAGAATAACCTGTTGCCAGTCATACTAACTTTTGGATTGGATTTCAGGCGGATGGATTTTCGCGGGTTTTTGCTTCTTGAAACAGTCTAACGTGGCAGAGAAATTATGTGTGTTTAAGACACTGAATTTTGCATCAGATTCCGCGAAACTATTTTCTTTTAGATGAAATTGGGGTTTGATGATCTGAAGGGTCTCTAAAGAAATGGTTTAGGCTTAATGACATCTAGCATAGCTCAACCAAGCAAAACCAAACTCTGGACACAAAAGCTTACCCATGAACTCAAACAAGTGGCCTGCCTAAACCATGTTTGTAAGAAAAGAAAGCTATAATCTAAATCCAACTCGATATGAACCCAAGTCCATTATAAGTGATTTTTATATTACCAGTTATCATGGAAAAGTGGGACAAGGCCAGCCTATTGAAAATGATAGCACTTCTCCATCTGAGAAAGAAAAGCGAATGTCACAGGGAGATGGAGAAATAGAGAGCGAAATACATAGGCATTTCAGAAGAATTCAATACGTCAGGACATCTTTAAAATATAAATGGCCAAGAACTTTGGTATCACAAACTCTGTTTTTTGCGTTAAGGAAGGTTACTTCAGAAAAATATACGATTTATATGATAAATTGATCTTTACCAGAGTCTTTCACATTCGATATCCATCATATCAAGAAAAGGAATAAAAATCTGGATACCACCATAGCATTGGCAAAATCAAGCACTCTGATCAAGAAAAGCTTCTACAAATCCCCAACCATCATCAATAACAGGTTCCACCCAGTAATCACTTTAATCACTTAGGATTTATATATAAAACTTAGTATTTATTCGTTTTATTTTTAAAAAATTAAAAAAAATTTACTTTAATGCATGTTTTAAAAATAGTGTAGTTTAATTTTTTTCAATAAAAATTTATTGAACGACGTAATTTAAGGTGATTTTTTTTTAATTTTTAAAAAATAAGATCGATAAGTATTATTTATATATATATATTTTTATATTATCCTCTTAATATTTTGATAATTTAATTTTTTTCAATAAAAATTTATTGAACGACGTAATTTAAGGTGATTTTTTTTAATTTTTAAAAAATAAGATCGATAAGTATTATTTTTATATATATATATTTTTATATTATCCTCTTAATATTTTGATAATTATATTAAATTTTAATTAATTTAAAATTAAATTACATCTTATCAGATAAGCTACTAAATACATGTTTCTTTATTTACATTACTTCAACTCAAGGTCTTATATTTTAAAGAAACTGACCTTTCTCCACCCGGAGACCAGGTCTCGCTACTTTAGGATTATATTTACCAGTTAGGATCCTCAAACTTAATAGTTAATAGAGTTCTCGGCGCGAGAATTGCTACGATTCCAATCCTAAATTCTCACGTTAGGGCTTTTTCTCTCCTTCCCTTCACCCTTAAAATTTTTGCAGTAATGTCAAATTTTTTCGATCAGCTAAAAGAAATGAAAACCCTAATAACATCCAACACCAAACTAAACAAATCTCTCGGTTACTCTTCTCTCTTAAACTACCAGGAACAGTGCAGTAACAGTCCCCCTTCACTTCATGCCCTAGCCGAGAGTTCTTGCAGTTTTCTCCATTTGATCATTGCTGATGTCTCCGATGATGATGAAGAAATGTAAGGTTTCGTTTATCATTTGTTGATGATTAATTTGAAATGATTATGGTATGTTTAGTTTTCTTCATTTTAATTTTAGTTCTCTTGTGATGGCAGTGCTGCTCAAGCGTTGAAGTGCTTAGGATTTATGATATATCATCCTTCCATTGTTGCAACTATTCCTGGTATATCTAGTTGCTTTGTGCCATTTGTTTATTGTGAAATTTATTTTATCATGGAAATATTTGAGCAATCACTTTTATGTAAGTGAAATTTATGAGGTGAGATTTAAAATGATTTTTAAAGACCTTATGAAAGAATAGAAAGTAAAAACCCACTTGTTATTTGGCTTTAACTTATGAGTGAAGTCTATATCAGTGAACATGGTTTGTAGATATGCAAATGGGAAAATATAACTCAGATAAATTGTGGAACACAGGATTTACATTTTATGATTCCATACCGTGAGAACCTTGTTGTTGTTGGTTACATTTGTTATGATTAATTTCAGTTGTCTGCAAGTTATGCTTGTGTCATTGACATATGTGGGCAATGTGGGATTTAAGTAGAAACTCTGGTTGGCTTTCAGTAGTTAACTTTTGCCATGTTACTGCAAGAATGAAATTTTTGTTGATTTAACTTTTGGTATTGTAGGGGAAAATGCTAAGATGGTTTTAGAGTCACTTGCTAAACACATTATTGCCACGAAAATGAAGGTTAATGCCATTTTCTCAGAGCAATTTCCTTCTCTTTTCTTCATATTCATAAATTTAACTTGTTCCTTTAATTCTAGTCAATTTGTAACCTAGGTGTGTGGTGTATTTCTGTTCAACAAATTGAGGCTTCAGTTTTAGCTGCCCACTCCAATTCATTGTTGCAAGCTGTTGTTCATGCTCTTGACAACCCCATTGGTTCATTATCAACTACCTTTGAGGCTATGCAAGTAAGTTCTTTCTAATTATTATCAAATGTGCACCAATGATGGAGAAACTTTGTATGCATGTGGTTGGAATATATCACTTTATGTAGCAAAGCCAATTGAAAGATGCTTTTCATGCTTCATCTTCTTCTTCTTATTATTATTGAAACTATGTCATTTCAATAAATACCTTTCAACTCCTAAAAACTACTTAATTTTGAGACATTGTCTGAAGGGTGTTTATTGGAATTAGGTAGTTTTGGGATGTGGTACTCCTAAAATTTTAGGAGGTAGGATTGACTAACACTGTCCTCTGATTATATTTATTATTAATATTTCAATAAAATTTATTAATATCATTCTTAGATATGAACTAGAAAGTAGGTAGGGCGCCAGTCATGCATACTGCCTATTTCTCAGTGTAAACATCCTTGAAATGGTGTTTTTTCATGATTGAACTTAAGACCCAAGATGTGCTGCCTTTTTTTTTTTCCTACCCTTACATTTCCCTTTTGGTTTGATAACTTCTCTTCTTGTATTGTGCCATAAACCTCTTCCAGTTTCAAAAAACAACAAAAACAAATTTGAACTTCAATTGCCTATTTCTGAGCATTTTCATGATTATGAAAATAAAATAAAATCAGTTAGTTTTATTTCAAATACATTAATTCTGGTATTGAATATTTTGAATGTTATGCATTATAAAGCGTAAGCATCTTTTGAAAACTCTTCTTTATCTTATCTAGCATGCAAAACTTTTCTTCCATGCTATCTTGAATATGCTCTTACCACATGCAGGACTCTGTAATGTTAGTTAAATGTACTTGTCTTAAAACTTAGAAGATTGCCTTAAGCTGCAACCTATATTCCACTTGATGCTAAACCACAATTATAAATTGAAGCTAAATTTTCCTCCATTATCAAGCTTGTAATATATCTTGCAAGCTAATAATCTTCAAATATTTTTAGTTTGTTTCAAACACCAGCAACTGTTTTGATGCTACCTTTATCAGGCTGTAATGAAGTTAGTAGCCCAATTGAGAGGGAAGATGAGAGAATTGTCACACATATGGGTTCCTCCAATATACAGAAGACTTCTTAGTGATGACAAGAGAGAAAGGGATATGTCAGAAAGGTGCCTTTTGAAGATTAGGTCTACGATTATTCCTCCTCCACCATTTCTCTCCAAGGTACAAACTTTTGCCTTATTATTTTCAGATTTTTTTCTCTCCTCAAACCTCAATGTAGGCTTATTAAATTAACCAGTGCTATCAATAGCGGATAGCGGCAAATAGCAGAAAGGCCGAAATCTGCTATGATAGTGTAGCAGCCGCTATTGACAAATAGCGGGTATTTGATAAAAAAATTAAAATATAAATCTAATAATTAAAATAAGTGATAAATCTAGTAATAAAAAGCATAAATTGACCTAAGAGTTTATAAAAATTATCAAAAATTATAAAAAACAATATTCTCAAGTTTTAACAAATAAAAATCGTAGTTTATAATAATCAAACAAGACAATAAAATACTTAAAGAGTACAAAAATCGGACAAGATCAATTCAGAAAAAAGTCAAATAATAAAACTTCAAAACAAAAAATCATTCAAGAGTCTAATTTTTTAGTTGCGGTTTTCTGTTGTAAATTGGCCCACAACTCTGCCCTAACTGCTGGTGGGCATTTAGGACATGGAGCCACATCCCCTTTCATCCCTATTTGATGCCTTCTAGCTCTGGTGATACCACCAGTGGTAACTTTATTGCAAAAGTTACAGACCACCCGACTTGAGTTATTAGGATCTTGCAACTTATTATATTTCCATCCAATCTCATCATCTGATCTGCTTTTTTTGATCTTGATGAATTGGTCATTGATCCACTTTCCATGTCACTGTTAAAATCAACTTATTATATATACAATCTAGACTTCCATATTAAAAAATACATCATAGAATCAAAATCAAGATTTTATTTTTCCTATATAAACTTGCTTCAATACAGAAAAAAAATAAATAAATAAACAGAGAATTTACAGAAGCAGAACCAAGCAAAGA